CATTTTTGGATTAGGTCTTTATATTTGGGGTGGCTGATTTTTTTTTTTTTTTTTTTTAGTTCTTTATATATTCTGGACATTAGTCCTTTCTCTGAGGAGCAGCTGGCAAAAATTTTCCCACATTGTGTTGTCTCTTCACTCTGTTAGTGGTTTCTCTTGCTGCACAAAAGCTTTTTAAAAAGATGACATCCCAGTTGTTGATTGTGATAGTTTCTGTGCAATCAGGGTTCTGTTCATGAAATTTTTGCCTTCACCAATGTTTTCAAGAGTTCCATTTATTCTATCTTCCAGCACATATAGTGTTTCTATTTTAATATTTAGATCTTTGATCCATTTCAATTTTAGTTTAGTGCACAGTAAAAGATATGGGTCTAGTTTTAATGTCCAGCATGTGGATATTTTTCTTGCACCATTGATTAAAGAGGCTAGCTTTCTTCTAGTGATGGTGTTTGGCACTTTTGGCAAAGATAAAGTAACTAAGTATGTCTGGAGTTGTTTCCACATTTTTGAATCTATTCGATTGATCCTCAGGTCTGGTTCTTTTTTTCCCCAAACCATGCTGTTTTATTACAATAGTTTTGTAGTATAATTTCAAATCAGGGATTGCAATGCCCCCTACCTTGCCTTTTTTGCCTAGAATTGCTTTTGTTATTCTAGGTCTCTTCTGGTTCAGAATGAATTTTAGGATTTTTTTCTGTAATTCTATGAAATATGCTGTTGTACTTTTGATTGGTATTGCATTAAATTTGTACAACAGTTTTGGAAGTATGACCATTTTCACTATGTTGGCTCTTCCTACACAAGAACAAGGAATATCTTTCCATTTTTTTATATACTCTTTGACTTCCTTTATCAGAGTATTGTAGTTTTCAACAGAAAGCTCTTTTACTTCCTTCTTTAGATTTATTCTTAGTTATTTTTTTTTATAGTTTTATGAAAGGCATTGTTTCCTGTGGTGTATTGACAACTGGTGGTCCACTCGTTCTACCAACATGAATGGAACTAGTGTGGCACTGGGTAAGGGAGGCCCAGCTGAGAATTGTTGCTGACAGCATAAGATGCAAAACAGGAGAAGAAGAAGTAAAGCTATTGGGAAGCTGCTGGGAAGTTGTGGAAAGGCTCTTAGTAAAGCTGTTGAAAGCTGTTGGAGGCTGGAGGATCTTGTCATGCTGGCTTTCCTGATGAACTCAGCTGTTGTCATCAGAGGACGAGCTTGAGACTTTGTCATGAATTGAGAATGGCTCTAGTTCACTTTGGGGGAGTTTTGGTCCTCACTTTGAGCATTGCTTCCTGGCTCCATTTCAGATCCCTCAACCTGCTAGCACAGATCATTCATCATGCTATCACAGACTTTCTAGCTTCCACCATAAAACCTTTGGGCCTTCCCATAACAGATCTGTGAGACAGGCCTGAATAAATCTTGGGCTCTTTGTTTCCAGTTGGACTCATGGTGAGCATTGTTATGGGCTCTAGATCTTCAGCTGAATTTACGTAAGCCATTATTGTGGGATCCAGGCTTTCAGCTGGATTCTTTGGTCTTTAGTATGTGGCCAGATTTCCTGCACTCTTTTTATATATGACTGACTTTTATAAAATAATCTTATACTTAAGTGTTCTGTATTGTATTGTCCCCCCTTGCAAAACCCAGACTATGACATTTCCCTAATTTCTCTGTGAGTTTATTATTTGTACAAGAAGGTTATTGATTTTTGAGTGTTGGCTTTATATCCAGCTATGCTACTGGATTTTATTATGAAATCTAAAAGTCTTTTGGTAGGGTTTTGGGGATCTTCTATGTAAAGTACCAGTTCATTTGCAAATAATGATAATTTAACTTATTTCTTTCCTATCCTTATTCCTTTTATTTCTTTCTCTTGTCTAATTGCTCTTGATAAAGTTTCCAGAACTGTATTGAATGAGTAATAACACTGGACATCTTTGTCTTGTTCCTGATTTTAGAGTGAACATTTTCAGATTTTGTTTATTCAGTATGATGTTGGCTGTTAGTTTGTCATAGATGGCTTTTATCAGATTGAGATAAAGACCATCTATTTCAATTTTCTGTAGGGTTTTTAATCATTAGTGGGTGCTGGAGTTTGTCAAAAGCTTTTTCTTCACCTATTGAGATGATCATACTGGTTTTGTCCTTGGCTCTGTTAATATGGTATATTACATTTATAGATTGGTGTATGTTGAACCACACTTGCATTCCTAGGATGAATCCTGCTTAGTCATGGTATATAATCTTCTTGATGATTTGTTACACTCTGTTTGATAAAAACCTTTCTACCCACCATGCAGAGGTAACTATTCTAAATATTCCAAATGTATAGAGTACTGATTGTTAAATTTTAAAGATTCAGTTGAGAGATTTAAGAGTGCCAGTAAGGTTCAAGATAGGATGACATTAGAAATTCTATGGTGGATCTGATAGAAGTCCTCAATCTACATATACAATGAAAAGTAATGGAAAAGTGTTACCCTAGGGAGCCACTGACTGGTGTTTAGCCCAGGTCTACAAATCATTCTCTAGAGAGTCTTAGAAAAAAGTCATTAATTCGGAAAATAGAAATGGATAAAGTTTTACCTCTTTCCCTAAGGCCAAAGACCTAACCATCCAGGTAGATATGAAATCCCTACCAACAACGCATGCTTCACTGATAAGCTTTCCACCTGCATCCATAAGGTTTGATCCTTATATCTTCCTGCTTCTCAATGATGATATGTATCAGAGCCTAGCAAACTATGGTGTACCTCTTTTTTTTTTCTTTTTGTACATAAAGTTTTATTGGAATATCACCACATCTGTTCATTTATGTATTTTCTATTGCTACTTTTGTGCTACAAAGGCAAAGTTAACTAATCATGCATTATGCTTTGTGTCTAGGTGTCTCTTCTGTCCCAAACCAGCGGATCAGTCAACGAAGGTCACCTGGGGGAGGAGCGGGGAATTGAAGAGGGGAAAAAGGACAGAAGACGCGAGAAATGGAGGGAAGACAAAGATTCTGATCAAGCCTCGTTTATTTAGGGGAGGTTCTGGATATATATAGGGGGTGATGGAATGAGGAAGGCTTGGCTCTTGGGGGTCAGCAGGTATCTAGGCAATGGGGAGCGTGCAAGCCCTAGGGCATAGCACGTGATTCACAGGGAATGGGCAAGGTGAGAAGGGCCATAAACTTGACTCAGCAGGGGAATAGAATGGATACCGGTTAATGGCCTCCAACAGATCCCCCTTTACTTTTATATATGTATGTAAAATATGGCTTTTGTAGATGGCTGATTCCCTTGAGGGGGGAGTGCCTGTCTTAGGTCGAGGCGTCCTCTACATGGACCCAACTCAAACCTTACCCGTCATAGGAGACCAGGACAGCAGAAGATCCCATTCCTGTCTTAGGTGGTGAGTGGTGTCTCGTGTATGCCCCTCATTACCCGTCTCTGGCTAGCCTGACCATCTCACCAAGGGTGGGAGAACTAAGAGGTCTCCAGACCTTTATCATCATAAGCTGTTTGTATTCCAGCGCAGTTTTCCCTTTGAGCCATCTCAAGCCTGTGATAATGAACCTGAATAGGTTGCATTTTAATGGCATCCAATTGTTGTTTAACGAAAGGCATCAGCCTATTGAAAAGATAGGGTCCTATTGATAAAAGTATTAATAATAGATCATCAAAAAAGGGAAAAAAAGGAACAGCTGTTCATTGAAAGACACACAAACACAATGACACATAAACCCCTTAAAAAAAATCGAGTGCACTCAAATATTTGGTCAAATTAAATTATAGTAACTATATTACAAGCTTTAGAAATTTTATAAGTAGACTAGTCAGATTTTGTTATTTGTCAATTATTATAGATCTCTTATTAGAAAAACTTGGAAGGAAATCTTTCATCTATAATTAATATGCATATTTTGTATTTTTATGCTTTTTGTCACCTATTCCACACCTTGGAATTCCATTTAGTCAGTTTCTTGAATAGGCTCCACGGTGATGTAGCCTAGTCGCTGTTAACTTCTTCTTTAGATCTGGCTCCATGGTACAGCTGACAGTACACTCTGGTACCCAAATAGGTCAGTTAGCATTCTCTGGAAAAACACAAGCATACCCTTTGCCCCAGGTTAGTTGTGAACTGAGTCCCTTTTCATTGTCCAGTATGGAGAGTTCTCCAAAGGACCTTTTTTAGCCTTTTTTCTCTTACCTAGTTTGTCTTTCTGTTGCTGTAAAAGTATAAAAATTTAATAGTATATATTGACAAGTGAAGATGTCAGGATTGACTCTCTTTTGCTTTAACAGAATTTTGATCCTACAGTGGCCTTTGGAGGCCATGATTAGGCCTTTTATTATTTAAATGAATGTCAAATCAAGTGACTGTTTAAATCCCATGGCCTTTTACACATTATTTTAAGCCTTTATATTTGTTTGTAAAATATCAAAGCCCTATTTTAATGCCATGTTTAATTTAGGACAGTAAAACAAGCAATCAAACTTATTAGGAATTAAAAGGGGGGAACTACCCGCTCGGGCCCCCCTCCTGTCCCTCTCTCTCAGGACAGAAGCTTTCTTTCTCTCAATAAACATATTCTGGGCTGGTGAGATGGCTCAGTCGTCTAAAGCACCTACTTAGGGGCTGGTGAGATGGCTCAGTGGTCTAAAGCACCTACTTAGAACAAGCTAAGCTAAACAAAGCACAGGGACCTCGGTTTAATCCCCCAGCACCACATGCCAGCCAGCCCCGCCCCCTGGTGGGCTGAGCTGGCCACACACACACACACACACACACACACACATACACACACATAAATAAAATTAAAAGAATTTTAAGTAGTCTTTTAAAATATGTGGGGCAGTGACCTTTTACCTTGGTAGCTGCTCTACCTGGAAGCCACCCACATTTGCATTTGAAAAGCCATTAAAATGTTTTTCCTTTAATTTTTATTTTCTAAACCATTATTTCCTTTTAACAGTTTAAAAATTTTTAGCAAAAATAAATGATTAATTGTGCAATATAAGAATCTGTGTGGTTTAAGCAATGGTTTGGTTTGATAGAATTATAACTTTGATTTCCCTGTATAAACAACATCGATTATACTAAACAAAACTTGCAGACCATTTAGCACTGGGGCTCTGTCTTTGGTTGATTTTACTCCATAGGTGTGCTGCCCAGCTGCTAGGAGCAGCTTAATGGTCTTAGTACCTACAAAGGATTTTCTTGAGCCCACATTACCTTCTGAAGTACTATCTTGAGCCTTAAGAACTTGCGAAGCCAGCCACACACACAGCCAATGCTAGTGCCACGGCCTTTGATGGTCATGACCCACCTACTTAGCACCAGGAACACAGGCCTCTGCAGCTGAACCTATCTTGCAGATGTCAATCTGGGTCAGCCTAGGATGAGAGTGGATGGGAGCTTGAGGCCCGTTTGTCCCTTCCCCCAGGTGTGTGCCTCCACACCTGGAACCAACCATTTGCAATTTAAAAGAACCGCTTTTTTACAAAACTTTTGTTGTTTACTGCTGACAATAGGGCCAGGCAATGTAGTAAGTGTTTTAATATACATAATAAAGAGAAGCTGACTTCTATTTTTAATAAGCAGTTAAGTTTTAATTTGAAGAGTTTTAGTAGTAGATATCATAAGTCTGAAAATTCAAGTTTTAATTTTGTAATCTAAACTGGGAAGGGGTACGGGATCATTACCAGAGATGACATCCATATCAGGCAATACAATTGCCATGACACACAGTCCTGTCCAGTTGGTAGGTAAATATGTGAAGGCTAACCTTCCTCTGCATACAAACACATGTCCCTTTTTTGGGCAAATAGGGCTACTGTAGTTAAGTATTTGATCGCAGCTGGTGAAGGTAACAAATTCTACGTCAATACTGAAGCTATCACTGTGGAAGTTTCCTTGTATATAAGAATTCCAGAGGCGATAATCCCCCCCAGAGAGGGTGGCTCTGGCTAATGCCTGCCAGTCCTCAGGAGTAAGCTAATTGTCAGCCACAGTTTAAAATGGCTGCGGTGTATGGAGCCATGGCTCCGTATTGGGCAACCACTGCTGCCATTCTGGAACAGGGACTCTGCGGTTTTCCCCTCAAGGCAAAGTCCCTGACCTTAGCAGTTCTGAGGCTGTAAAGGGTGGAGACCTGCCTCCTCCTGTGATGCCCTCAGGCCGTCCCTTCCATTCTCAGGCTTCATCCCAGCAATGGAGATCCTCTAAACCCCATCTTTGCAGTCTACAGCTTTCTTGGTGCTTTCTTTCTGGCCAAGCTCACAACATTTTAAATCCTCCGGCTGGGCTCCTCACTCTTTATTCTCAACATAAATCTGGCTTCCTGGTTTTGATTTCAAGATTCTGTTCCCTTACAGGAAGGCACACACCCTTAGGGGGTTCTTTGTCCTTTAAGATGAGTTTTACCATTTTTTTTTATCACATTAACAACAACAGGGTCACAGTGTCTCTGGGATAAAATTTTATCAATTAAATTCCAGTAGGAAAAAGCTGTAACTGGTGTTATAGGTAGCCAAATTAGATAGAAATATTAATAGGCAGTCAGACAGGGCAAGGCCTTTGAAGGAGACAGCACAAAGGACAAGTTCTCTTGTAACTGTGGGAGGAAGGGATGCTCCTGTCCTCATATTGCCCTGGGCTTAATCAACTTTACCTGAGCAATGCTGCTTGCAATCCCATTGGTTGACCATAGTTTTGTCCCACCCCACATTGACCTAAGCAAGACCTCTTCCTCTCGCGTGTCCAGCGTGGCCTCTCCTCCCACCCCAAAGCCATTGCCTTGGGCGGCCAGGGATGGCACCTCTTCCTCTCTACCTTAACCCTGTATGGTTTTGCTCTATAAAAATAAACTGAAAGAGACGTCTTCCTGGGCAACCCGCTCAGGTCCCCCTTCTGTCCTCTCTGAGACAGAAGCTTTCCTTCCCAATAAAATATTCTACTCTCAAACTCTGTTTGTTCTTAAAATCCACTCCTCGGTTCTAGAGAACACGAACTCCTATTTAGATAGATCAGGTTGGGAGTTTTACTTCCCTGTATCACTGGGGCCTTATTAGGTCCAAAAGTCTCATAATAATCCTTAATTTTAACCTTTACTCCTCACGCCTTTAATGCTTTACTCAAACTTTCTATATATCTCATTCACTTAATTCCTGTCCATTGTCGAAGGGAAAGGGGAAAGGGGTGCTGTCCGCTTACTGAGGTTCAGACGTCACAGCAGGCAACTACATCGCAGACCTCTTTTATTCTCTCTTTTCCCTCTTTTACTCTCTTGCCGGTTCTCTCTTTTACTGGCTTTCTCTTGCACACGCTCTTTCAGACGGTTCTGTCACTGTATCCTCCGTACCAGATGCCCTACTCGCTGGGTGCCACTTGTCCCGAACTAGCAGGTCAGTCAAGAAAGGTCACCTGGGGGAGGAGTGGGGAATTGAAGAGGGGACAAAGGACAGGAGACGCAAGAAATGGAGGCAAGACAAAGATTCTGATCAAGCCTCATTTATTTAGGGGAGGTTCTGGGTATATATAAGGGGTGATGGAATGAGGAAATCTCGGCTCTTGGAGTCAGAAGGTATCTAGGCAACGGGGAGGGTGCAACCCCTAGGGCACAGCACGTGATTCACAGGGAATGGGCAAGGTGAGAAGGGCCATAAACTTGACTCAGCAGGGGAATAGAATGGATACCGGTTAATGGCCTCCAACACTCTTCAAAGTCTCATGCAGTCATGGGGTGGCTTCTGAAGTTTGTGACTGATTATTGTGGATGTGGGTGTTACATCCACCCTGAGGCAGGTAATCTGCATTACAATGTAAGAAGGGGAACAAGGCTAGCTAGAAGCTGTAGCTGCTGTCCCTTCCTTTGCTCTTTGCTCATTGTCACACCATGAACAGTTGCTGTCTTCCACGTGCAACTCTGCCTTGGAGCCAGCTGAATGTGGACTGAAACCTGCACTAACGGTGAACTAAATAAACCTTTCCTTCCTTAATTCTGGTTGTTGGTATTTTATCCCAGTGACAAGGAAAAGTAGCTGAGACATCATGATAGAGATCATATTTATTACATAACCTAAAAAGATTTATTAATTGTCCCTCTCTGGAAAAGCTTGCCAGCTCCTGATATAAATGATGAAGCAGCCATAGGGAAAGCTATTTCAAGCTACTAAATTTTCCAGTTTCTCAAGAAAGTCTGGTCATTTGGATGGTTCAATGAAAAAATTTCCTTTTATATGGCCCTGTGGGGCCCATGAACAGCTTCTTAGATATCCTTGCAAGAAACTACAAGCTCCTAGAAAGCAGGGGCTCCATCCTTTCTCTGCTTTCCCAAAGCCTCACACAGTGCTTTGTATGTAATAGGAAATCAGTTCTTCATAGAATACATGTGGTTGGGACTAGATTTCCTCTGATTTCTCTTTTTTTTTTTTTTTTTTGAATCAGGATTGAACTCAGGCCCTTGAGCTTGCCAAGCAAGCACTTATTCTTTTGCACCATCTCCCCAATCCCTGATTTCTCTTTTCAAATTATTGGTGGTTTCCATGTTACCTGAAAGCTTTTAAAATATAATTTAGCTTCCATATCTAGGTAACTTAGCAAAACATGAATGGTCCTACACACTTAAGAAAAAGAGTACAATTTTCTGGGGAGCAGGTTCCTTTCCAGAGCCTTTAAAATGTTAGTTAAAACTCTCCTTTTCAATAAAATGTTCTCAGATTCGCCGTAGGGGTCTTCACTCAATCCTACCTCAACACCTCCCGGGACCTCTGTAAGTTCCAGCAACAAGGTAACACAGATGTTAGTTCTGGCCAAGTCAGATGGAGAGGTACAGGAGAGAGAAAAATGATCTTGCCCCTGCGGGCTCTATAAGCTGCCCAAGGTAGCAGCAGCCTACAGTGAACAACTGGAGAGAAAGCCAAAGCAGCAAGCCTTACCACACAACCCGTTAGTTGTATAGAGATACTAAGAAGGCAAGGTCATGGCTGACGTGCCTACCAGTAAAAGAGAACTAATCTCAGGACAATGGATATGATTTGCCTAGAAGGATTCTCAGAGTTCTCATTTCCAAATGGGACAAAGAGCCTTTCATAACCACCAAATAGTAAACTAACCTTCTTCTGACTGATAAACACCCAGATGATCAAGCAAGTTTTTGTTTTTGTTTTTTTGTGACTATATAACTTAAGAGTGACTTTAGTAGGATTTACCACTGTGGAAGGAAAAGCCCTGTGCCTCATCATTGTCTTAATTTCCATTTATATTATTCTCATGGAATCTTGTGCCTCAGGAATAATTAATAAGAATTTAAAAATCAATGTGGTAGTTAGGTTGAAGATTATCTGCAAAGAGAGAAAATAAGCAAATTGCACTGTGCAAAGATGGGCCATAGAGTCTTTGTTAAACATCCTCAAATATCTCTCTTGAATAAAGTAAGATAAACCTGGGTGTGGTTGAGCATGCCTGTAATCCCAGCACTCAGTAGGCTGGGGCAGGAGAATTGCTGCAAGCTTGAGACCAGCTTGGGCTTTTTTTCCTCACTGGTCACGCACCTGCAAGCAAGGTAAACGTTCCCAAAACCCGGCGAACTTTCTGTAAGAAGTGTGGCAAGCATCAACCCCACAAAGTGACACAGTACAAGGCAAGGATTCCCTACACACTCAGGGAAAGCAACATTATGACAGGAAACAGAGTGGCTGTAGTGGACAGATTAAGCCGATTCTCCAAAAGAAGGTCAAAACTACAAAGAAGATTGTCCTGAGGCTTGAGTGTGGAGCCCAACTGCAGATCTTAGAGAATGCTGGCTATTAAGAGATGCAAGCATTTGGAACTGGGAGGAGATAAGAAAAGAAAGGGCCACGTGATCCAGTCTTAACTTTTCATGTTTTTTATTGTGAAGACAATAAAATCTTGCTATGTTCACTTCACAAGAGAGAGAGAGAGAGAGAGAGAGAGAGAGAGAGAGAGAGAGAAACCAGCTTGGGCTACAAAATGAGACCTTGTCTCAAAAAGACCAAAAAAAAAAAAAAAAAAATAGAATGACAGAAAGTCACCCATCTCTCTGACTATGGGAGAATTTGGTGAGTAAGTGTGCTTTCAACAAATAACACTTGGGGGCCTGCCCATTAGCTCAGTTGTTTAACTGCCTGCTAAACAAAGTAGTCAGGCTCAAGGTGCTCTGGTTCGAACCCAGCTTCTCATAGGATCCCAGAAATGACCTCAAGGAATCTTCAGGCCACCAAAAAAAAAAAAAAAAAAAGAACAAATAATGCTTAACTTCTGAGAATTAAGCTGCACAACTACACAATACAAATTGGACCAGAGATAAAGGCATCTTAAAGCAAAAGAAGAGGTTGGTCTGAAATCTTAGCAAATAAAGCCATTAGAAGACCCACTCAGACAGTGCTAATTAGAATGAAAGTATAGGACAAAGAGCAGAGGGACAGGGAACATCCACCTCGCCCTTTGAAGAGCTGAATTCTGCAGATGACACCTCAACCAAAGCTATGAATACTCTTTTGTCTTTGGAAAGACTTCTTATGATAAAAATGCCAGTGTCAGGCTCTCCAAACTCAGTGCCATTAAGCATTTGCCTCATACAAGCTCTCTTCAGTCAGATGCTAGGTAAGCAGCTTTCTGATATTTCCCTTCCTAGGAAGTCTGTCTTCAGTGAAAGATGATACAAGCAGAGACACGAATTCTAGACACAGAGGCGGTTCCAGTCCTCCTATGAATCAATAAATTGGCATTCTAGCTTCATGCATCAGCTCTGTAAGCTCAATTAATTAGATTTAAAGCTAAGAGATGGAGCTGTACTCACAGTGCTGAAAGACCCAGCTTCTACATCTGTGAGGCAAATACTGGACATTGGTCAGAGATAGTACCACCCTGTGAGGTCTTTCGGACACAGCCAAGTACTCCTCCTTAATACTCCATGTTGCCTTTGGCAGTGAAATTTATTGTATGCTTTGTATTTGTCTGTTTGCTCTGAGATCATTGAGTTACAAGGAAAGAACCAGATACAGATTGGCAAATCTCTGATTCCAATTACAGAGAGGACACTAGACATAAATCAGAGGAAACATAACCTTCCTAACTGACCAACTAAAGCAATTCAATGCAGTTTGTGTCTGAACATGTTATTTAATATGGGTCCACTTTCTATTAATTTTCACCTAGGAAATGCCATATGTATCCATAGATTGAGTATAAAATCTTTTCATAACTCAATTTTTTCCACTTTAACATGAGCATAATAGTTTCAACCCACAGTATCACAAAAATAAAGTAAAAATACGCATAACAATACCTTTCATGACATTGATTTACCAAGCTTTCATTCATTCAACAAATATTTATTGAGTGCCTGCCATGGAAAAGCCACTATGACAAGCACTGTGGTATTTTGGGAAATACAGGTACATAGTTTCTGCTTCAAATAGAGAAGACATAATTTAAATAAACTGTATTACTCCTTTTAGGCTGCTGCAAAAGAATTGTATAGACCAGCAACAGAAACTTATTACTCACAGTTCTAGCAGGAAATCCAAACTCAAAGTGCTGCCAATTTGGTTCCCAATAAGGGCTTTCTTCTTGGCTTCTAGATGCGTGTTAACATGAACCCCCTTATGCCTGCTGAGAGAAGGGCGAGAGACAAGGATAGAGACAGAGAGAGCTCTCTGGTATCCCTTCTTATAAAAGCACTAATCCTAGGGAATCTGGACCCACACTTTATGTCTGCATTTAACATTAATTGCTTCCATTAAGAATTTGTCACCAGAAATTTTTTTAAAAAAATTATAAATAATAAAAATTTTAAAGAGAACTTACCTCAAATGTGATCATGCTGGGGATTAAGGCTTCAACATATGCATGTACAAAAAGACTAATGATGCCAAGTTATTAATACATTACAGGGTGGTCAGAGTAGCAAAGAAGAAGCCGAGAAAAACCCCTATGGGAAAAATAAATGAGACTTCCTACCCAGCTCTTTGCCCACTCCAGTTCTTTAAGTGCTTCCTGGTCAAAGACCAGAAGATGAACAAAGCAGTCTCCTACCAACTTATTTTATGTGTTCCTCTACATTTTCTCTTTCCTACAGAAGTTAATTCTCACCTGAATCAGCAAGGTGAGCTTCCCAATTGGGATAAAAATTTGATCACAGTTGCCAAAATTGAAAAAGCATGCAGGAGGGGAAGCACCAGGAGATGATGATTGGGTACCTCTGATTTCCAATCCACCATGCCTCTGCTACACCCCTGGCACCCCTGAAAAGGGTAACCAGGGCAACAGTAGCCACAGGGGCTGTGCAACCACTGCTCTTGCTACTGCTGGGAGCTGGCAAATCACATAGCCTTCAGTGACAATTTTCTTGCTTTTATTTTATCCTCTCTCTTGACTTGGGAACCTTAGAATAAATTCACTCAAAACCTAGACCAGCAGAACTACAACTTTTTTCTACAGAAAGAGACTTCCTTATATACTTAGAAGATTCTTTCCCCTCCAAATGTTGGAGGAGTCTCTGTTCTCTTTCTCAGCAGCATGGAATTCTCAAGCCTATCTACTCCTCCTCATCTCCAGTGTCAATATTCTTGTTCAAGCCATCATTATCTCTCTTCTGGATCACCCCAGGCATGTCCTAATTGGTTTCTTCTGTTTCTGCCTCAACTCAGTCCATTCTGTGCATAGCATCTGGAATGCTCTTTTTTAAATTTTAAAGATAATAAAAAAATAACAAAATGACACAGAATTCCAAAACATGGTGATAGGAAATTAACAATGGTTGTTACATTGCATATTCTTTTTTTTTCTTTCAAAACTTCATAAACTTTATTGTCTCATCCATCAAGGGCACAGGATACCTTCATCAGCTCCATCTTTTACTTTCCTTCTTACAGATTCCGGTCCATTGCCCTTACCAAGGAATATCCTGTATGGACAGCTTCCTAGAACCAAAAGATATCTGTCTTCTGGGTTAAGTGTACAAGGGACGTTTGGAAGCCTATGTTGCACTATCTAAGCAGCTTCCAGGCTGCACGCTGGGGGTGTACTCAGCAGCATCTCCACTGGGTTCCACAGGTCTTAACTCAATCCCCGCAGCTGTTCCTGCTTTCCACACACTGTCAGTGCATCCCAGTACCTAGAATCTCAATCTCGTTCAAAGCACAACTTAGTCTACCCAGTTCATTACACGGATCCCATCTATGACCTCTCACACAGATGCTCAAGTCACCTATCTTGCCCTTTAAGCACCTTGAATTTGAAACTAACTTTTAGGGCAAGAATTTTAGCTACCATGGGAACTTTTTGCTATCTGGTACTCCTTATGCCCATCTTGCTGATACTAATGTACCGTACTTTTTACAAGTGGTCCTCATAAAGTCGAGAAAACTGGTTTCATGCTAAAAATGTGGTTTTTAAACAATGAATTCAACATCTACAGGCTTTTTTTTTATATTTGTATAAAAATCTCTAAGGCTCCAAGCTCAGGTTGATAAAAAGACACCAGCATTTTAACCTGAAACCTTTCCTAGCTGTTTAACACTACAAAGGGAAGACTTAATATTGTACACTTTGTCATAAGCCCACTGCAAAAGTAGAAGCGTAATAGCCTTTTGCATGCTAAGCAAACACTACCACTGGGCTACATCCCTAGCTCATCACAGCATTTTTATAGAGCAAAGGGCTGTTCACATGCTTCATAATTTTTTGAAAGCAAATGGTTCCTTTGTCTAACACACAAAAGCTGAAATAATCTCTACTCAAACATTAGGATATACATAATCTACATAATGAATGTATTAAAGCTTTGTACATTCAATTTAGGTTTTTGACACTTTGTTGAATAAACAAGTTTTATTTATAAATTTAGTCAACATACATAATTGACCTAAAAACTTCAATAGGATGAATTAAAAAACCCCTTGGAAGGCCGGCTCTATAAAAGGGATTTTCCCAGGACAGTAACCAGATGTGACCTATCCCAACACCATCTTAATTGGCAGAGATCCAATAGGCTGAGCAGTATGCTCCTCCTCCACAAGTTCACACTAACTCCACAAGGAGAAAAACGAACCTTGGTATTGTTTCCTCTCAGTAGATCAAAAAAAAACTAATTATGAGACCAACCACAATACAATGAAAAGCTGCACTTAACTAGATTAGTAACAGATGATGCTGGTGTGAATTAACTTATTATTCTAGAGCCCTTATAAACAAAATCCCCCAGTTAGTGTTTGCATTATCAGCTAGAGGGTTAGTTAATGTGGTAGAATGAGGACTTATGCAAGGTATACACATAGCATTTCACTACTATATAGAAAACAAGTGCAGTCTAGTCAGGAAAAAACCAACTGGATTCTATTACACACACCTTAATGACAAGACTTCCCACCACTTGTGAATGTAAAACATTTAATTTAAAAATGTTGACACTACAATATATAAAATAGCTATTATAAATGCACATAGTGTATTCTATAGCTGCCAGGTTTACTTTTTTTTTCTTTTAAGGAAACTGTAAGTTACACTGTGGTTAAGA